GACCTGGCCCACAACCCAGGCATGTGCCCTGACTGGGAATTGAACCGGTGACCCTTTGGTTTGCAAGCTGGCACTCAACCCTCTGAGCTACACCAGCCAGGGCCCTTTCACTGTATTTTGTAAGCCAATCACTGTTCAACCTACAGGCAAAGGGGCCTGGGTCCCAAAAGGCTGTAAATACCAGGAGGCGGGATCACTGGAGGGCATCCTAGAGGGTGCCTTTCAGGGGCCGAGTTCAAGGGATAATACAGGAGCCGCGGCTCCATCTGGTGGGAGAGGATGGCACACCACAGGGTACGTGACAAGGTGGAAGTTTCACTTGGAATAGCTTTGAGTCCACAGTTGGGTGGCCAGAAAAAGCACAAGACACCCAATTAAATGCAAAAATTGGAATTTCAGAAAAACGGCACATGCTTTTTTTAGCATAAGTATGTCATGCAACAGTGAAGGCATACTTATACTAAAATTAACTCCTTGAACACCCAGGGAGGGGCCACCCCGAGGCCTGTGTCTCCCCAAGCCAGGAGCTCAGAGAGGGGGCTGTTGTGGTGGGCAGAGTGATGGGCCCCCCGTGGTGCCCCCGTCCTGACCCCCGAGACCTGTGGGCGTGTCGTGCTATCTGGCAAAGGGGAACAGGCACCTGTTGAGTTGGAGAGAGTGTTCTGGATTCCCTGAGCGGGCCCATTGCATACACAATGGTCTTTATATGTGTTACGGGTAAAACCGTGTTTCCCAAAAAGCTATGTTCCATCTTGCCCCACAGAACCTCAGAATGTGGCCTGGTCTGAACATAGGGTTGTTGCAAATGTACTTAGCTAAACTAGAATGAGGGTCTAGTGGAGCAGGGTGGGTTCTTAACCCGAGATAACCGGTGCCCTCATGAGAAGGCACCAGGGAAGGGTGTCCTGCGAGGGCGGAGGCAGACAGGCTGCTCTGTGGGGACGGCTGGGGCCGCGGCCACGGCCGCGGCCAGCAGCTGGAGGAGGCCGGCAAGCCTCCCTTGCAGGTTTCAGACGGAGTGCGGCCCCTTCGGCACCTCGGTGTTGGACTTCTAGCCTGCAGAACCGTGAGGCAATACACTTCCGTCATTTCAAGGCACCCAGTTTGTGGAGCTTTGCTAGAACAGCTCCAGGAAACTAACGCTGAAAGGAAAAGAAGGGTATCAGAGAGAGCGCGCGCGGGAGCGACAGCGGAAGTGAGGTCAGAGGGAGAGACCTGGAGAGGCCACGCGGCCGGCTGTGCAGGTGGGAAGAGACAGCCTCCAGCCCGGGAGGCAGTCAGGCGGCCTCGCGATGCCGGAGAAGGTTCCGACACGCAGTCTCGCCTAGAGCCTCCTGCGCGAGCTCCACCCTGCCGACACCTTCCTTTAGCCCCAGGGGACCCGGGTCAGACTCCTGTGCCCCAGACCTGGAAGACCATACACATGTTATTTTAAGCCACTAAGCTTGTGGCAATTTGTCACAGCACAACCGGAAACAAACCCAGCTGGGTTGGGGACAAAGGTGCAAGCAGGAGGGGAAGCGATTAGAGGGAGACTCGTGGAATGAAGGACATTAGGGCGAAAGGGTGAAGGTGTCGTGGTGGGGGGTGGGGTGGGGGGTGGGGTGGGGGGAGGGCCCAGGGCAGCCACCTGCCGTGTGCAGACTGTGAACAGGGGGGCCCCAAGCGGGGCTGGGAAGGAGCAGTCAGAGAGATGGTGGAGCGAGCACAGAGGGCAAACGCCAGGAGCTGACACCTGTCACTCACGTAGGCAGTGTGGCATTCCCACTTCCCAGGGAAGGAAGGTCCCTGCGTCACCTCTCCGCTCACGGCTGCCCCATGGGTCTCCTGCTCACCTCTGGCGCCGGGGCCCACTGGGCCTTGTTTGCAATGCTGTGAAATCCTAGGTTGTGGTTCCGAAGGCGTAAATGGGAAGCTGGAATGGGGGGCTTTGGGGTGTAGAGTTTCCAGGGGAGATGTGGCAAAGGGTTGGTTCAGCTGTAAAAACGGAGAATCCACAGGAGCGAGAATCCCTCTGTCCCGCTCACCTCTGAAGTCCTAGAACCGAGAGCGGCGGCTCTCAACTGGGGCGCTTGGTATCCCCCACCCCCGACAAGAGACGTTTGGCAATGAGACTTTTCGGTGTCACATCGGAGGTCAGGGTGGGGTTATTGTTGTCTTATGAGTGGAGGCTGGGGTGATGCTGAGTGTCCTGCAGTGCACAGGGCAACCCCTCCCCCCACACATGAATGATCCCACCCCACTGCACACAGAAAAATGGGCCCCAGAGATGGCCATGTCCTAATCCCCAGAACGTGTGAATATGTGAGATTTCATGGCAAAGAACTGAGGTTGCTGATGAAGTTAAGGCTGCCAAACCAACTGATCTTTTTAAAAGATTTTTATTTATTTTTAGAGAGAGGGGAAGGGAGGGAGAAAGAGAGGGAAAGAAACACCAATGTGTGGTTGCCTCTAGTGCACCCACCTACTGAGGACCTGGCCAGGAACCCAGGCATGTGCCCTGACTGGCATTTGATTTGCAGACCCATGAACAATGCACTGAGCTACACCAACCAGGGCTAAACCAACTGACCTTAATATAGGAAGATGATCTTGGATCATCCAGGTGGGCCCAAGAGTCCTCAGAAGTGGGAGAGGGGGTAGGAAGAGAGAAACAGAGAGACGGCAGCATGAGAAGGACTTAGCTGGATGTTCCGGCTTTGGAGACGGAAGAAGGGGCCACAAGCCAAGGAAAGTGTGTGGCCTCTTGAACTGAAAAAGGAAGCAGACAACAGCTTGTCCCCCAGATCCCCCCAAAAGGAATAGAGCCCTGCCGACACCCTGATTTCAGCTCAATAAGACCCAGTTTGGACTTCTGACCTTCAGAACTGTGAGAGAATAATTCAGCGTTATTTGAAGCCAGTAAATCTGTGGCCACTTACCACGGCAGCCGTAGGAAACCAGTAGAGGCCCCAAATGTCCACAGAGCTGGCTGGAGAAAGCCTGTCCCAGAACAGCACCCGGCACCCAGGATGAGTGAAAGCCAGATCTATACAAATGATTTCATTTTTGTGACAAAACAGTATTTCCCGGCTGGTGTCTTAGACAACAGATTGCTCACCATAATCATTCATGTTTATCCTCACTAGGACTTCATCTTTAACCTTGAGGCCAAGGTGGCCACAAAGCCTGGTTCACATGTTTGCTACAGGGAGGCATGGTAATTGTTGAGTGCTTTTGACAGGAGATAGAATATATTCTTCAACTTCTATGGTTTAACCCACAGGTGGCAAACACAAGGCCTGCGGGCTGAATCCGGCCCTCCACCTTGTTTCTATCCAGCGGCAGTGCCAAGCTCCTTGCCCCTAGTTAAGGAGTAGTCACATTTATGAAGTCCTAAAGTTACATTCCATCTTTGAAGGCACCCTCAGGCCTGATGTGATCCCCAGTGAAAATGAGTTTGACACCGTTGATTTAACCCCTGACGATATTGTCACTAATCTGGTTTTAATGAACTCACCTCAAGCAGAAATGGCCAAGAAACCCCTGGAGTTAGGGAAAGAACCCATGTATTTTACCTCCTACCATAAGTGTATGTAAGTAAATGTAAAATTAAATTAAAACAAAATTCCAAAGGCATTTGCCCTGGCTGCTGTGGCTCAGTTGGTTGGAGCATCATCCCACCACCGAAAGGTCACCGGTTTGATTCCTGGTCAGGGCACATTTCTGGGTTGCAGGTTCGGTCCCCGGTCAGGGCGTCAGGGAGCGTATGAGAGGCAACGGATCAGTGTTTCTCACATCCATGCTTCTCTCCCTCCCTCCCCCCTCTCTCTAATAAAAAAAAAAGAAAATAAACCTTAAGGAAAAAAAGAACAAAGTGTTCAAACAAAAATATGTATATCAAAGGTAGAACAAACCCAAAAGAAATAACCCAAAAACATCTGTCAATAGATAAATGAACAAACCGTACCCGTACAATGAAATGTGATGCGACCGTACAAAGGAATGAAGCTCTGATGCACGCAACAGGGTGGATGAGGCTTGGAAATGGAGCTGAGTGAAATAAGACAGAGACACAGGAGGCCGCAGCTCTACGGAGCTCAGCTTCCATGTGAGTCTCTGTCCCTGGCAGGGCACGGCTGGGGAGGGGGCAAGATGAAGGGTGGTTGCTGTGACAACGCCCCAGCCAAAGAAGGACTCTAGGAAAACTGCCCCTTTTTCGGCCCTTGCGCATTCAGGCTGACCCAGGACAGAAGCCCTTGTTCCCGCTGTGGGGGCAGTGGGGGTGGAGGAGAGGTGTGAGTTAGTCAGTGGGCTGCTGAGCCTATGGGCAGACAAAGGGAACTCAGTAGTCAGCACTGGCTTCCATAACAAAACACCATAGACCGGGCAGCGTACACAACAGACATTTATTTCTCACAGTTCTGGAGGCTGGGGGGTTCAAGGACAAGGTGCTGGCAGATTTGGCTCTCGGTGAGAGCCTCTGCCTAGCTGGCCGAGCGCCAGCCTCTCCCCAGTCTGTGCACAAGGAGCTGAGCTCTGGTTTCTCTTCTTCTTCTTATCAGGACACTAATCCCGTCGTGGAGGTCCCACCCTCACGACGACTTCAGCTAAACCTACTCACCTCCCAAAGACCCCGCCTCCAAGTAACATCCCAGTGGGAGCTCAGGGTTCGACATATGAATTTGGCAGGGGCGGGGCAGTGGGAGAGGAAGAGTGACACAAATACTCAACCTATAATACTTACACAAGCAGAAAGCGATGACAATGATTCCTATTATTTCAGTCCATTTCCTGTGTCCTACACAGCTAATACATATGACCTTATGGGCCATGACGCTGAGGTAGTAAGTTACATCTTGCTGTGTAATGAGAGATCAGTCCAAGGCTTAGTGGTTGAAAATAATAAGCATCTAACCCTGGCTGGTGTGGCTCAGTGGATGAGTGCCGGCCTGCAAACCAAGAGGTCGTAGGTTCGATTCCCAGTAAGGGCACATGCCTGGGTTGCAGGACAGGTCCCTGGTAGGGGGTGAGCAAGAAACAACCACACGATGTTTCTCTCCCTCTCTTTCTCCCTCCCTTCTGTTCTGTCTAAAATAACTAAATAAATAATTTTTAAAGTTTTTTTTATATCTTACAAAAAAAACAATGAGTATTTATCAGAGGATCTGTGAACAGGAATTGAAGAGCAATTCAGGGAGGTAATTCTTGCTCAGAGTCTCTCATGAGGCCACAGTCAGGGGGTGGCTCGGTCAGGGGCTATCTTGAAGCTTTCTTAATTCACATATTGGTGCAAGAGGCTCCTTGGCCTCTCTTCTGTCCCCATGAAGTCACTCCAGGGTGGTGGCTCCGGAGTCCCAAGGTGGAGTTCTAAGACAGCGAGAGTCACTCAGCATCATGTCCACTGCGTTCCACTCATGAGAAGCAAGCCCATGGGGCCGGCCTGTATTCAAGAGGATGGGAATATTAGAGCCCATCATTTTATAAGAGCACCGCAAAGAATCTGTGAACCTGGTCTAAGTCGGCACTATTGTATGCCCATTTTACACATGAACAAACTGAGGCACAGAGAGGTTAAGTAACCTGCCCAACGTCACACAGCTTGGGATTCATACCAAGCTGGCTCCACGGCCTCTCTCACTGGCAGGCATTTCTGCCCGTGGCCACAGTGAGCACAGCTCCTCACAAGAGCTGTGAGGGCCTGGAGGAAGGACTGCACAGACACCTGTGAGCTGCTTAAAAAAAAAATAACGTACAGAGCTCCGCAGTGAAGATCGAGCTCCTCCGACCGTCCTTCCTGCCCGGAATGCCAACCCAGAAAATTCAGAGCCAGCTTTAAACTGCCAGGCCCCAACTATTAACCAAGGGGGTGTTAAAAAGTGATCAACATTTTTAATACAAATAATTTTTAGTGTAAAAAAGAGGTAAAGATCTTCCTTTCGTGCTGTTACACAGAGATATTATATTGCATAATCAAGCCTGTGTAAAGAATCTACCCCGTACCATAAACTGAGGACATTTTCAAGAGCCCCATTTTGTTCTCCTGGGCGACTTAAGATCCTATCACCAGCCTGATCTGTTCATTTACGACTGTCCTTGGAAAGGGGATTTTAACAAAAGAGTCTTGTGAGAGTCCCCTAGAAATTGTTGCCACAGCTTGAGAAAAAATAACCTCCCAGAAGGAGGCTGCAGTTCTGATTGGTTGTCTTCCTTGATCATTTGTTGCCATGGCGATAACATCATCTCTCTCATTAAAAGGAATTAATGCTTGAAGGTTTTCCATCCTTCCCTTAGAATCAGAAGATGATCGTTGGCACTTTTCTCCCACAAACATTAGGTGAAAATAAAAGCCTGTGACTCTGCTAGATTTCTTATGTTAACAAAGACATGGGAAGTCCTCTTAAAGAAACCAAAGCGCTCAGCCCCGCATGCCAACAGTGGTAGCTGTGGTCACCGCGACGGCGGCGATCTGCAATCTTAATTACACCAGAGCGCCTGCTGGTGGGGGATGAGAGAACAACAGGGCTGTAGCCGCTGGGAGACCCCTCCCCTCTACTCCCCTCCTCTCAGGAACGCTCACCCCCACCACCCAACTGGCCAGGCTTGTGGTGGAGGGTGGAGCCAGGACAGAGATCCTTATAGACTCTGCAGAAGGTAGGGGAACACCCACTCTCTCAGCACCCACTTTGGGCACCTACTGTGTGCCAGACACCCGGTGCTATGCCCTGTACCCTGTCCATCCTCACTGCAACCCCTTAAGGAGGGAATTATGACTTCTCGCACTGTCTGCAGATGAGGACTCCAAAAACAAAGAGGTTAAGTCTCTTTCCCAAGGCCACACAGCCAGACGCTGCAGCAGCCATGAGTTGTTTACACCGAGGCCTCTCTGAGAGAGGCTGAGAACTTCCACATGGAAGTGTGGTGGGACCCGAAGGCTCCTGATCCATCCTCAGGAGAGACTGTCCCGTGCCTGTGGGATTTGTCAGCCAGAGGCTTTCAACCTCCAGCTTACAATAGTGCTGGTAAATCTGGGCTGGTAGTTCCTGGGCTCTTGTTAGTACCATGGTCTTAGCTAAGCACTTTTGATGAATAATCTCACCAAATCCCCCTGGCAAGTTCAGGGAGAAAAATTATTATTGTGCGTCTTTCACAGAGGAAGAGACCGAGGTTCAGAGAGGCCCATTAGAGTGCCCGAGGTCACACAATCGGCAAGTACTGGAACCAGGGTTATGAACGCACGTCTGCCGGACGCCAAAGCTTCTATTCTTCTCCTCCACACTATGCAGGACACAAGACAGAATTTGGGTGTGAGTGTGGGCCCAACTCCACATACAAAGCGCTTTCTGGGCCCAGGTAACAGTCCCATTGTTTCCTAATTAGCAGCTCCTTTTTTGTTCCAGTTATCTATTGTGGCATAACAAATTACCCCCACAGTCTGGGAGCTTAAAACAACAATTATTTCTCTTGCTCACAGATCTGCAACATGGAGAAGGCAGCGATGGTTCTGTGCTCCGCGGATAGCAACCAGATCTGCTTGCAAGACACTGGGCACTCCGCGAGCAGTCTTCCCTAAGCTCAGCTGGCAACTCTCGCACACGCCCCCTACTGGGGACCCAGCCTGCAACCCAAGCATGTGCCCTGGCTGGGAATCAGACCACGGACTTTTTGCTTCTCAGAGCGGTACCCAAGCAACAGAGCTACACCGGCCCCGGCTGAACTTCACTCTCACAGCCAGTGTGGGGTTGAACGGAATGGCCCTCTGGGTTGGTCTCTCTTTGCCCACTCTCTGGGAGGAGGGTTTTCACTGGAGGACAATGGGAGATTGAAGACCCTGCATAGCCTTGGCCTTCGAGCTCTAAGAAATCAAGAATTTAAGAATTGTTTTGTATACAAAAAGTGTTATCTGGGCAAAAAGTATCTCTTTTGGAGAATAGTTGAGGATCCCTTAACTATCTTTTTTTTTTTTTTTTGAGAGGGAGAGAGAAAAAAAACCCATCAATTTGTTGTTCCACTTACTTATGCATCCATTGGTTGATTCTTGTATGTGCCCTGACTGGGGATCAAACCTGGGATGACACTCTAACCAACTGAGCTACCTGGCCAGGGCTGGACCTGCATTTTATTGAGGGACTTACCAAAGCCCTCCGAATAACTCAATGGGTAAATTTTTTAATCTTCACCTAAAGACATGTTTTTGTTGTTTTTTAGAGAGAAAATAAGAGAGAAAAAGAGAGAAACATCAATTGGCTGCCTCCCATAGGCACCCCCATAGAGATCAAACTCACAACCCAGGCATGTGCCCTGACAGGGAATCAAACCCACAACCTTTTGGTGTATGGGATAATGCTCCAACCAACTGAGCCCCCCAGCTAAGGCACTCTGAGTAATTCTGCAGACAGAATGAATAGCTGCAAAGTCAAGATTCCAGGCAGGGAAGTGCCCAATCCCAGCTGGCCACACTTCATACATCCCTGGTCCATCACCACCTCAGTTTCCTCATCTGTAAACTGGAAATCACGAATATCCAGTGGGGGTCTGGCAAGGCCTGAGGTGCCAGGTGAATGTCCCAGAGCCGGATCCGGAGCAAGAACCAGTACCGGTGTGGCTAGGACCTATTTCTATCAGCGGCCCTGGAGCTTCTTCACACCCCTGTAGGGACTCACGCCGCTACAACTGGATCATCCAGGCTCACCTTCCCTGTCCCCATAGGTACCGTCTGCCAGCAGGCACTGTCACCATGTGCATGGAAAAAACTACCTCAGTGTAACCCAGAGCGACACAGGCAAGGAGCTCACTGAGGATAAAGCCATCCCCTCTAGAGAGCCGGTGTCTGTGTCACCCTTCCCAGGAAGGAAAAGAAGGCAGCAGAAATCTGCACACATGGCCTCCTGAGCCGTGGTCCAGTAGCTGCAGACCTGAAGGGGGGCCCCTGGGAGCATCTTTGCTAAGTGTGATCCCTGCCATTTCTGTGCTGGGACAGGGCCAGTGACAGGATTGAGATCAGGCTGTCGTACATTTCTGGGGTGAAAAAGATACAATGTGGGTTGCAATTTATACACAGACAGAAAGGCACTGAGGACAGCCCCGCCTTTGAAGAGTCCGAACCTTGGAGGACCCCTTCGTGTATGCTGGGTGGTTCTGGAGTAGTAATCTTCGAGAAAATGAAGTCACCTAATGCATGTGGGGGACGGTTTGGTGAGAACTGATATTCACCTGGTGTTGCAGTGTCTTTCCACACATTACTTATTAATTATAAGTAAAAAAGAGGCCCTGGCCCAGTGGCTCATTTAGTTGAACCTGATCTCATGCACTAAAAAGGTTGTGGGTTTGATTTCCGGTCAGGGCACATACCTAGGTTGCGGGTTCAATCCCAGGTTGAGGTGTGTATAGGAGGCAACTGATTGATGTTTCTCTCCTTCTCTCTCTCCCCACCCCTGCCTCCCTCCCTGTCTCTCTAAAATCAATAAGCAGCTCTTTCTCTTCCGGCCCCAGGTGCTTCGAGAGCTGTGGGCTTGGGTGCGGATATGACCAAACCCAAGAAGTACACCACGTACAACCAGCCCCGAAAAGTGGCACAGAAACAGTATCAAGAAACCCCGATCACAAAGATATGGCTCTCTTAAGGGGGTGGACCCCAAGTTCCTGGGGAACATACGCTTCGCCAAGAAGCACAAGAGAGGCCTGAAGAAGCTGCACTTCGACAATGCCAAGGCCATGAGCACACGTGCCAGGGCTATCACAGCCTCATAAAGGAGGTCAAGTCCAGGATCCCAAAGAGTGGCAGGAACAAGCTCAGTCGATCTGCCTACATCGCTCACCCCAAGCTTGGGTTCTGCTCTCGTGCCTGCATCGCCAGGAACCTCAGGCTCTGCCAGCTAAAGGCCAAGGCCAAGGCTCAAAACCAAGCCCCAGGCTGCAGATGCAGCTGCGGCTCAGGCTGAGGCTCCCAAAGGCGCCCAGGTGCCCACGATGCCTCCACAGTAGAGGCCTCTGCCTGCTGATGTGAGGACGGAGGGACTGGTGTGAACTCTGGGCCGCTGTCTGCGTGGGCTGGTGGCCTCCTGTGCTATTTCTACAGGTCAACCTGAGCAGGATCTGTCCCAAATAAATAAGTAAGTAAAGGAAGTCAATAAGCATGCCCTCAGGTGAGAATTTTTTAAAAAATGAAAAAGAGAACTTTATGGCAAGAAACCTCACCATCACCAGTAATGCGGAAAACTGTGCCACCTGACTTCTGATAAGAAGACCCAGAATTACTTCTGTGATATTCCTTTTTCCCCTGTTTTTTTAAGATTTTATTTATGTATTTTTAGAGAGCGGGGAAGGGAAGGAGAAAGAAAAGGAATGAAACATCAGTGTGTGGTTACCTTTCACACCCCCCTCCTGGGGACCTGGCCGGCAACCCAGACATGTGCCCTGATGGGGAATTGAACTGGTGACACTTTGGTTCGCAGGCCTGAGCTCAATCCACTGAGCTACACAGCCAGGGCCCAGTGCACAATTCTATAGCACATCATCTGTCCACAGTACTGTGTGCCCACCACCCAAGTCAAGTCTCCGTCCATCACCATTTTCCCCTTAACCTCCTCCCCTCCCCCTCCCCCAGCCATCACACACTGCTGTTCACGTCCATGAGTTTTTCTCTTTTCTTTTTCCTTCAATCCCTCCACCCCCCAGCCCCAACCCCTGACAGCTGTCAGCCTGCTTTCTATGAATCTGTTCCTATTTTGTTAGTTTATTCATTAAACTCCACATATGAGTGACGCTGGATGGTACTTGTCTTCCTCTGACTGCCTTATTTCACTTAGCATAATGCTCTCTAGGTCCATCCATGCTGTTACAAAGGGTAAGATTTTCTTCTTTTTATGGCCAAGTAGTATTCCATTGTGTAAATGTATCACAGCTTTTTTATCCACTCGTCTACTGCTGGGCACTTGGGCTGCTTCCAAATCTTGACTATTGTAAATAACAATGATTTATTGCAAACGAACATAGTGGTGATTATATTCTTTTGAATTAGTGTTTTGGGTTCCTTTAGATAAATTCACAGAAGTGGGATCGCTGGGGCATGGAACAACCACTAAACTACAAAGGAAAGCAGAGGTAAAAAAACGAGTACCCATAGCAACAAGCACACTCAGAGCCCAGATTAGTTTCTAACAACATTCCCCAATAACTGGAGCCAGGGCTCCTTGGAGAAGTGACCGATTTTGGGAATGGAACAGAAAATGCATGCAGTGTGTCTGGAAATACACAAGATGTGCTGGAAAAATGGATGTGAGGGCGATCTGGCTGCGACATCTGTCACCCCACCATCACCAGGGTTGATACAGCTGATCTGGCTGGCTAAGCGGGTGTCCCTGTCCAACCTCACCGACCCAAGTGCGTCCCTCTGGAAGCTGCACGCTCGGTCGAAGAGGACGACCTTTCCAACTAGAGGAGAGGACCGGTCTTCAGTCAAGGGCACACGAGTAGCTGTGCTCCCCTGCTAGAACCTCCAAACGAGCTCTCAAGACATGCTGGAGAAATCAGGAAGCACTAAAACATGACTCACACACACAAATGCACACACGATGAGGGTCTGTCCAACGACCCAAGAGCCGGCTGAAAGAGCACCCGACGGTCAAAGCTGGAACAATCTGAGCAACAAAATAAACAATGTACATTGGATTATAACCCATAGCACACAATATCCACAAGTCCACACTGATAAAATATAAGGTGATTGAGCCCTGGCAGTGGCTCAGTTCATTGGAGCATCATCCCATATACCAGAAGTTACAGGTTCGATCCCCGATCAGGGCACAAACCTAGGTTGTGGGTTTGATCCCCCGCTGGAGCGCATACGGGAGGCAACTAATCAAAGTCTCTCTGTCACATTAATGTTTCTCTCTCTCTCTCTCTCTCTCTCTCTCTCTTCCTTCTTCTCTCTCTAAACCAAATAACACATCCTCAGGTGAAGATTTTAAAAAATAAAATAAAATAACCCTGGCTGGTGTAGCTCAGTGGATTGAGCATGGGCCTGTGAACCAAAGCGTTGCTTGTTCGATTCCCAGTCAGGGCACATACCTGGGTTGTGGGCCAGGTCCCTAGTAGGGGGCACATGAGAGGCAACCACACACTAATGTTTCTCTCCCTCACTTTCTCCTTCCCTTCCCCTGTCTAAAAATAAATAAAAAATTTAAAATAAAATAAAATGATTGAATAAATAAACAAATGGGGAAGAATAGACAGATTCCCTGTGCAGAAGATTTCCAGATAATTGAGGTAGATATCACCCTCTCAAGGAGAGGAAGCAAAGCTCTCCTCTTCGTGAGTATGGACTGTGAGGAGGGACTTCCTACCAGAGTACAGCGTGGGAAGGGAGGTGGAAGAGTAACTATACGCTGAGGAAACCTGATAAATACGAGAGTCAAGGCGAACAGCAATGGCAATAAGTCACGTGGATGGTATGTACCCTTCATATCATGAGAACAACACTTTACCTCTGTCCTGCCCCGAAAACCATAATCCCAGTCTAATCGTGAGAAAAACATCAGACAAACCCCATGGGAAACATGGTGCAAATCACCTGCCCCGGACTCCTCAAAACTGCCACGGTCATCAAAACGAAGTCTGAGACATCGTCGTAGTCCACAGGAGACTGAGGTGACATGATAACGAAATGGAATGCGATGCCCTGGGTGTGACCCTGAAACATAAACAGGAGGTTAGACGAAAACTAAAAAAATGGGTGTCAGTTACTTAGAATGTATCACTATTGGTTCATTAGTTGTAACAAATGTACCACATTAATGTACACATTTGATAATAGAGGAAACTAAGTCGGGGGTATGTGGAAACTCGGTTCTGTCTGCCACTTTTCTGTCATCTAAAACTGCTCCAGATACAAAGTTGTTTCTTACTACAGAGGAAGAACGGAATAGTAAAAGACACACCAGTAACTCAAAAGAAGACGTCATTGGAACAAAGGCTTGCAGCTGAGCAGGGAGAGAGCATTTGAAGAAGAGGAAATAGGACCAAGGCCCTGAGGCAGGAGCCAGACACAAGTGCTCAGGGAACAGCAGAGGCACTGTGGCTGGAACAGAGAGAGCGAGGGGAGAGCGAGGGGAGGTGAAGTTAGAGAAATAACAGGGTCATCAGGTTTGGTGTCCAGCAGCAGATAATATTGTTGGCAGTGGTGTTTGCCCAGCTGATAGCTACGAAACAGTATGTCGTTGTCACTTTAATTTGAACTTCCATGATTATAATGGGGTTGAACATTAGTTTACTGATCATTCCTGAAAGTCAGAAGATTTGAAGCCACTGCCGAGACTTTTATCTGGCTGCAGCATACAACAACCCGAGGCCTGAAAGTCCGGGGAGTCCCCTGTCCGGTCACTAAGATAATTTCCCAAACTTGGAAAGAAGGTTCTTTGAGACTAGAGTCATCAGATTTAGTGATTAGAAATACAGGACTTCAGCCCTGGCTGGTGTGGCTCAGTTGGTTGGAGTGGCATCCCATACACCAAAAGGCTACAAGTTCAGTCCCTGGTCAGGTCACATACCTAAGTTGCAGGTTTGATCCCCGGGTGGGGAGCATACAGGGGCAACCCATCAATGGTTCTCTAACATCCGATGTTTCTCTCTCTCTAAAATCAATAAACACATCTTCAGGTGAGGATTTAATAAGAGTGTAGGGCTTCCTGTCAAATTTCTTGGGTTGGGCTCAAATCCTGGTTCTACCTCCTCCTGTGTGACCCATCTTCTTCACTTTTCTGTCCTGGGTCACACCTCCCTACCTGTCTGGTCTTACCTAATTTTAGCGGCAATGAAACAGTTTCATCGGGCAGCAAATGAAAGTCACAACCCCACTGGGAGCTTGTGAGGATTAAATGAGCTAATGCACCCTGGCTGGCGTAGCTCAGTGGATTGAGCACGGGCTGCAAACCAAAGCATTGCAGGTTCGATTCCCAGTCAGGGCACATGCCTGGGTTGCAGGCCACGGCCCCCAGCAACCACACATTGATGTTTCTCTCTCTCTCTCCCGCCCTACCTTCCCTCTCTAAAAAATAAATCAAGAAAGAAAAAAAAATCTTAAAAAATAAATAAATAAATAAGCGAATGCACACAGTGATTGGAACAGAGTCAGTGCTCGGAGGCATTAGCAGTAGTATATGACCAACACGACGTATAGGTTATTTCATAGCACTGAGGATTCAGAAGATCTGCCTGGCAAAATTGAGAATGAAAAGAAGAAAAGGAAGAGAGAGCAGGAGCATGCCTTTGCCTATTTGTTCAGCAAAGGTTGGCTGGGTCCTTAGCCTTCTCTGTTCCAGGGCCAGCGCTGATGACAAAGTTCAGCCCGGCTCACATCCATCAGGAATTCTTCTGTTGCAAGTGACAGAAATTCAACTCAAACCAGCTTGGGAATACGAGAGAAATTCTAATGGCTCACGTAATCAAAATTCCGGCCTAATGGGGTGCAGCTGTCCTGCAGAGTACAGGAGCCAGGGAAGTGAATTCCCAGTAGGACTTTCTCACTGCATCTTTTTTGTTTGTTTGTTTCACCCCGAGTCAGTTTTATTCTCTCCTCTGGGGCCAGGAAAATGGCCAGAGAGGTCTGGACCTATTCCTTTACTGCCCCGCCACCCAAAAGGAAAAGGCTTCTTGCCCCCAAAATCCATATCCAAAATCCGAGGGAAAGACTCTCATTGGCTCAGCCTACATTCTGTGGTGGGATGTAATGATTGGCCCAGCTGGACTCACTGCCATCCTTCGGCCAATCAAGGAGAGGAGAGGAGCGACACAAGTGAATGGCAGCTCGTATTCCAAACAAAGGGGGGAAGGGTACTTTCTGAGTTCCACTAACCTTGTCATTATTTTTCCTGTTATTGCCGGAACCTTGGAACAAGAAACGCACAAGTCAGGTGGTCTAGATGACAGGAGATGGTTGGAAAGTATGGTCTCCACAACCCAACTAAGCACAAGCTCCTGCATACAGCAAGTGCCCAATTCATGCTCATTGAATGAATGGCTGAATTAATTCCCCGTTCCCAAAAGCTGATCTGGGACAGCCCCAATTTCATAGATCCCTGAGCCGACCAGAAGCGAAGTGGGGATGCACACCTGTGGAGTGCATCTCAGGGCGCAGACACTTGCCTGGGAGTTGGGATTGGGAGTTGGGGCGACGGTGGAACTTAGAGACGAGGGACAAAACCTTGAAGACCCCGCCACCTCCTAAAACCCAGCTGGGGGCGGGGCTTCCAGACCACAGCATTTTGGATTGCTCCATCTTCCATGCCTTAGAGGGGAGATCAAAAAAAGTCCTTCTGCACCTTCTGCCGGTTCCTTACCACTCTCTGGCCACGAAGACGATGTACTACTTACTTTCCTACCAGCCACAGTGTTTCCATCTTAACTTCTTTCTGCCTCACCGCTCCACGCAACCACACATTTCAGGCTCCCCTCCCTGCTACCACGCAGTGGCTCTTCCCAGTTTGACGCATTGCAGGGAAAGCCGAACCAATCGGCGCTGCGCTCTTATTTCCGCTATGGCCCGGGCCCAATAGAGACGCGGCTCACACCAGGGACGCCTCACGCACGGCCGAGCGTGTCCCTCCGCCGGGGAGGAAAGTGGTGTGGACACAGGGGGCGTGGCGCGCGGCAATGGAAAGTAGTCCGGCCGCTGGTTCGCGCGCACGCGCGCGGCTGGCGGCAAACCCCAGCTCAGTACCGGGTGGGAGCGGGAGATTCGCCGGCCCGGCCGCGCTGTTGGGGCGCGGAGGGATCCTCGGGAGTCGCAGTGCGGCGGCACGTGGGACGGGTGGGGTGGGGCGGGGCGGGGAGGGGCGGGGCCTAGCGAGGCGGGGCGCGCGCGACGTCCGTTGTAGGACCGTTGGGGCGGGCGGCGGTGGCGGCGGCGCGCGCTGCGGGCAGAGTGTGGAGGCGCGGACGCGCGGCGGAGTTCGAGCTGCTGCAGCTGCTGCCGCCGCCGGAGGAACCTTGATCCCCGCGCTCCGGACACCCCGGCTTCGCCATGGTGAGTGAGGCTGTAGGGCCGCGGAGACGAACACAGCGCGGCAGGAGCCCTAAAAGAACCAGTGGACCCAAAAGAGGGGGAGTCCGGGCCCCGGGGGACGTCTCTGGACTCCTCGCTGCCTCCCAGTCGGAGGCATCTGAATCCAGAGGGGGACGTTTGGGTCTCAAAAGGGGGGTTGGGGACTTCCAAAAGCTACTTTAAGCACCAAATGAGTTGTTTAGACCCCAAAATGGGCATCGGAGCCTCTACGGGAGCATTTGGACCTAGGATGGAACATATGGACCCTCAGAGGGGGCTTTTGGACCCTTTCTAAGAGGTGTTTTGAACCCAGGCTAGGGCGTTTGGTCTTTGAGATGGGGTGTTTGGACCCCAGCAGGGCGAGATAAGAAACACTGGCAGGGGTGGGGGTTATTTGGGCCCCGATGAACGCTTTGGGTCCTGAGTGGATGCAGGGAAGAGGCATCAGGGGCAGGCTGGACTCCTGGGGAGCGCCCCCAGAAGGCACAGTGGGTAGCTGGGCCTAGATGGTGATGGGGGTGACTTCTGCAGAGTAGAAGGGGGAGGTCTCGGAAGACCAGCATTGCAGAGGATGGAGGAGGAGGGTAAAGCTCAGGGGAGGAAGGGCCTGGGGTAGGTGGTAGCGAAGGTTAAAAGATGCTCTTGAAGTCTGCAGAGACTGAAAAGCATTGAGGTTAGGGAGGTGGCTAAAGGAGATAATGGCAAGACTAGTGCTTGCCCCAGTGGTGGAGCAACAAGGGGCCTCGTGATCGATTTCAGGGCAGCCAGAAAGATTCCGAGGTTATTAGTGGGTTGAGGCTGTTGATCTAGGAAGGGGGGTTGGGTTTGGGGGAGTCGGGAAGAGTGTTGGGTTTGGGTCCGAGAGAAGGTGGCTTTCCAAGGTGAGGGGTGGAAGAGGACATGGGCTGGGGTGGCCGAGGGTGAGGTGGTAGGAGGCTTGGGGCAGGGAGGAGAAAATGAATGGCAGCCAAAGTGGGTCTAGGTTTGGAGGTAGATGTGGGTAGTTCCCTGGAGCTCTCCAGGGAAGAGCTGGGACAAAGACCATTCAGTCTGGATGGGGAGTGGGCTGCAAGGCTGCAGGGAGGCTCCCTTCCCCAGGAAGAACAGGTTGGGCAGAGGGCCCCCCCCCACCTGGGGCAGTGGGAGCAGGTGGGTGGAGTTGTTCAGGCCCCTATTGCGCACTGAAGCCGCATGAAATGGGGGTGGGGGGGTCAAAGTTTAGGATGCATCAAATGAGCCAGCTTTTTAAGCCTTCAGCCTCACCCCTTCGCTGCCCCTTTCAGACCAGGAGAACGGCTTTTTCCAAACTGGAGTGCTTGTTTTCTCTGATCTCCAGCTCCACGCACATCTCCTCAACGCACATCTCGAGTGTGCCAGATGACAGTGCAGTACAGTGTGGCGTCAGTGACGATCAGACGCCCGATCCTGTAGCCTCAGGGTGGGGGCTGTGGAGCTTGACCAGAGAGGACCTCCAGAGAGACCCCTTCATTGGCCTGAGGGCCACTTGCTCCGCTCAGGGCCCCCACTGAGTAGTCCCATTAATTCACACAGCTGGATTTTGAGGGGAAACCAGCAGACCGGTTCTTTCCTACTCCCTGCCACCCATAACACCCCCAGCCCACGCCAGGCTCAGCCTGGGAACCGAGCACAGCCTCCTCCCTGGCAAGGCTGGGCAGAACAGGCTGCCGTGGCTGTGTATCAGATCTTATTCTTGCTGACACAGACTTGATGGCTCCTCTCGCTGCTGCCCTGCTTTCCCCCAGCAGAACTGCGCTGGAGGGGCGCTGGACCACTGGCAGGTGCCAGCGACCCCCCTACTTCCCAGACAGCACCCGGGCTTGGGCCCCAGTAGTTTCTCTTTCCATCTGTGATTAGCAAGGTGTGGGTGGGACACGTCCCGGTGAACTGGCCTTGGACGGACTTTGGCCTGAGAGCTGTGCCTCCTCCTTGGCCGGGTGAGGGGCCCTGGCCCTGGTTTCCCATCTCATCTGACACTGCGCTCCAGCCTGGACTGGGGGCTGGGCAGAGCAGAGCAGTGATACCCTCTTTCCCTCCCACGCCCGACCCCACCCCATGCCATGTTTCTAGTCCAGCCTCATGCTGGAGCCCAGGGTGAAGGGAAAGGGATCAGGACACCAGTCGGGTTATTTGGGAGGCAGTTTTTGGTAAAGGCTTAAAATCTTCAGTTCTGGAAAGGGAGGGAGCCCTGAGAAGGGTCCCCCCAGCAGTGATGGCTTCTCAGGTGATCAGTCTGCCTGGCAGCAGCCATGCATTCAGATTCGTAGCTTGGAGCTAAGACCTTCCCTTCACCCAGCGGGGGAAAGGGTCTCTTGACCTGGAGGGAGATTGCCTGGCCGGCCCCCAGGCACAGCCACACCTACTCAGGGGCAGTGGGCAGCCACAGACACTGCCCCAGCCCCAGCCCCTGCCAATACGTCCCAGAGGTGGGGGAGAATTGGGCGTCCTGCAGAGCAGTGCAGTGGGGGTGGGAAGGTCCCTGGTAGGGCTGGCTTTCCCATCTAGGCCAGGAGAGAAGATGGGAAGCAGGTGGCGGCCCTCCTCCCCAGGCTGCTGCTCTCCTCTCCAATCTTCCTCTTCCCCCTCCCCTGGCATTGCCCGGCCTTGGTAACCAGAGCCTATCCTCTCTTCTCACTTTCCCTGGGCCACTTCCTCGGGTGGCAGGATCTCGGGGATCGGCCCAGGCTGCTTTGCCCACGGGAGCTGGAGGAAGAGGGTAGAACAAGAGGCCTGTGGGCCTGGGGCTGCCAGGTGGGCAGCTGGGAGCCCAGAAGCCCCAAGTCCTTTTTAAGGCAGTGAAGGCGTATCTCTGTTTGGCCTCTGAACCTTCCCTTTGGACTTTGGACTTTTCTAGAACGTGCATATGGGGTGCCTTTCTTTCTGCGCCCCCCTCCCTTAGCCATCTCTCCTCTGTCACCATCCCTTTGATTCCCCTTCCCATTCTGCCTGTTTGGGGCTTAGCTTCAAGTTCCTCTTCCCTCCGATGTCAAAAGGAAGGACATTTGAGATCAGTTCTAATGTGACCATCTCTTCATATTTGGGAAGGGGTGGGCGTTTGCGGGGTAGTTGCTGGCTTCCATGGAAGCTCTGGAAGCTCTTTGCAGGATAGTGCAGACACAGTAGTTTGCACCACTTGGGGGTACTCGCAGACCGAAAGCTAGCACCCTGCCATAGACTTGGAGCCACCCTCCCCTAACTGTAAAAGGAAGTCAGCGAGGAGAGGGAGCACCCAGTCTGGACCCACAGTGGTCCGGGGAGGGTGGTGCCTTCTTGGCAGCAATCACAGAAACCAAGGAAAGTGTCTCTTCTTGCTGCCTAAAGCTGAGTGTGGGGATCAGCCCCCCACCGAGCCCTCCCAGAGAGGATCCCTGTACCTGGCTGGCTCCCAGCACACCAGCACAAGGAAAGCTAGTCTTGGCCTCTTCTCTGCCCCACCCCCAAACCCTGCATGCAGCAAGGGCTGGCTGCCACCAGCTGGTGGCCAGTTCCCAGAGCGGCCAGGGCTGGAAAGGGTTAAAAACTGCAGCGCTGCTGGGAAAGCTGACTTTAGTCCTGCAGCCTCTGCCACCGCCACTGCTGCTGCCCTCTGCAGTCCCCTCCCCGACATTTGCCCCTCCTGTCCGAAGGAAACAGAATGATGCCCTGCGCCATCCCTGTGTGCAGGGGAGGGGAGCAGCTGCCTCCGGCCTGACCCGGCTTCCCTCGGGCACTCAGAGCTACTCAGAGCCACCAGTGAGGAGCATGTTTGCCAGTTGGGTGCCCTGCACTTGGACTTAGCACCTCCAAATAGCTGACACAGAAACCAGCAGAGAGCCCCAGATGCCGGCCCGGCCTGCCCGAAGACTGGCCCGTTTCAGTGTGGAGCCTCCCAGCACTGCTGGATTGGGCCTCGAGGGCAACTGCTCCCTTCACTCAGCCTCCGGGCTCCCTGCAGCGGCACTGACTCTGAGCCACTGCCCTGGGTTGTGCCAGTGCGGCTGGTATGGGGCTGGGCGGCGCTCCTCCCGCCCTCCGGCTCAGAGCCCAAAACACTGGGGCCCGGGGGGCCTGGGTCAGCCCAGCTGGGGTGTCCTGCCCACCTGAGTGCTGGGCTTCCTGAATCACCAGACTCGGGCACTGGCCCTGCCCTGCCCCACACCTCCCTTGCCTA